GTCTGAGGGAGGAGGCTGGGCCTGGACCCCTGTGTCTGAGGGAGGAGGCTGGGCCTGGACCCTGGGTCTGAAGCAGGAGGGCTGGGTCTGGACTCCTGTGTCTGAGGGAGGAGGCTGGACTCCTGGGCCTGAGGGTTAGGGTTGAGCTGAACTCCTGTGTCCTGAACTCTCTCCCCTTCTCAGATCCAGCAGGGGCCAGTCCTCATCTGGCAGTCCCTGAGAGGCGCCATGGAGGGATCCCTGCTCCCGTCCTTGCTAATTCTACTGCTGTCCTTAGCCCTGGGGACTGCTGGGCAAGATGGTGAGGCCCTTCCCCGCATCCCCCCTGAACTCTCCAAGCAATCCCTGGGTCGGCGCTCCCTCCTCCCGGGCATCTTCCTCCCCTGGGGGGCTGCCTGGCTTTGTGCCCCTTCTCTGCGGCTTCCTCCCAACTCCAGGGGCCCCTGCCTGCCCAGGGCCCTGTGTCCTCCCCTCAGGGTCTCTCCATCCTCTCGGCCTGGGATGAGACGCTCCCGCGGGCTTGAGAGTGTCCTCCATCCGCGGCGCGTTTCCCGGGTCTCCATCGCCGCCCTGCGTCCCGGCGGCTGCCGCGCCCCCTCTGCTGCCGATCACGCACGTGTCTCCACGTTTCTCCTCAGATCAGGGTGACAAGAGTGGGGACAAGATCATCGATGGCTTCCCGTGTGAAAGAGGCTCCCACCCGTGGCAGGTGGCCCTGCTCAAGAACAGCCAGCTGCACTGCGGGGGCGTGCTGCTCGACGAGCGCTGGGTGCTCACCGCCGCCCACTGCAGGATGAGGCAGGTGGCCCGGCGCGGCCGGCGGGGGGCGGGGCAGCCAGGCCTCCACCCCTCTCTGGGTCCCTGTCCCTTTCCCTCTGTCAGGTCTCTGAATGTCACTTCCTTCTCCCAGTGAGTACAACGTGCACTTGGGCAGCGATCGGCTGGGGGACAAGAGTGCCCAGAAGATCAAGGCCTCAAAGTCCTTCCGACACCCTGGCTACTCCACCAAGACCCACGCCAACGACCTCATGCTTGTGAGGCTCAACAGCCGGGCCAGGCTGTCGTCAAAAGTGAAGAAGATCGACCTGCCCTCCAGATGCGAACCCCCGGGCACCACCTGTACTGTCTCCGGCTGGGGCACCACCACCAGCCCTGATGGTGAGGCTGCCTCAGGGACCGCGTCCAGGCCCAGCCTCCTCCCTCAGACCCAGGGTCCAGGCCCGGCCTCCTCCCTCAGACCCAGGGTCCAGGCCC